ACATATGATAATCGTATCGACATAATTGATAAAATAATAATAAATATAATAGTAATCGTACAATTTTATCATAGCTAGGCCTTTCCACTCAAATTWTTGACGTTATAATATAATATATACCTATTATTGGCTATAATGTATTACTAGCTGATTCCCGTGCACTTCGTTGCCTATTCAATCATGATCAAAATTTCTCGTAGATTTACCCTATCTTAATCTGCGTTAAATAATTTTAACACAGTCATTTAAAATACAGGACTAAAATTATATTCAATAATATTATTTTATCGGAATTTTAGCTTGTATAAGTGAAACAATTTCTAAAATTGTTGCCTAATAATAGAAAATTGTTTGWTTGTTGTATCTTTAAAGTCCTTGGACCTAAGTACATCACATTCGATACTTTAAATAATGGTCAAGTTTGATAGACGATCTTGTGTTATTGTAGATCTAAATCTATTTTTTATAAGTTTCATTTTTGAAAATAAGCGTTCTCCACTACTGTTTGCCACTATTAACACCAAGACCAAGTACTTACATACACAGAGCAACGTCTACATTTGGAAAGGTAACTTTTAAACTGTCTTCGCAGAGTATCCTGATCCCGAACAAAAATAATTCCCCATGATTCTTCTTTTTTACAATCTTTTTGACGTAAATTAACCAGACTTATCAAACAAAACGAAAATTATCAATCCCAATCTAGTGATTCGTTTTATCACACACTAACAGCACCACTTGTCAAACTTAAAAAAAAAAATAGAATATTTTTTGAAAACCACTAGCAAAATTAAAAAAAAATTAATCATTTTGTGGGGACCTCTTATTAGTTGAATCTTTAGGTATATACATTTAAAATAAAAATAATAATAAAAATAGTATAAATTCAAAAGTACTTTAACACTATGTTTAATCCAATGAAATCCAACAAAATAATTAAGTTAATTTTATGTACGAGTATTTGTTTACTTAATGGTTAATAGTGCACAGCTAAATTATAATAATAATAAAATTAATTACAAGAATATTATTAATCCAATAATAAATAAATAAAAGGTAATAAATTACCTACACCAGTAGTTCCCAATTGGTGGTCCGCGTGTTGATGATAGGAGGTCCGTGGCTATGAAGTACTGAAGTGATGTTTTTATCTAATTTTAGTAGAATTTTAAACACGTATTAGTAGTATATATTTTTATGTTCACAGCCAGCTTTTACGCGGTAAAAAAAAAWTTTTGAAGCGGAAATGTTCCACTCCCAGAACACCGATTTACCGCGTAACACAATACGGTGATTACACAAAATTGTCCGTCTATTTGCCGCTTGCACAAAAATATTTACCGTATAATCAACTATTTTTTTTATTTAATTTTCCGTTTTTTTWAAATTTTTCAATCAAATATCGCTAATTTTTTATAAAAATAATTTGTGTTCTCTACTTGAAATTTTATTTTTATAAAAAATTAGCGATATTTGATTGAAAAATTAAAAAAAAACGGAAAATTTAATAAAAAAATAGTTGATACGGTAAATATTTTTGTGCAAGGKGCAAAATAGACGAACAATTTTGTGTAATCACCGTATTKTGTATGTGGTAAATCGGTRTTCTCGGAGGGAAAATTTCTGCTTCAACAATTTTTTTTACTGCGTAAAAGCTGGCTGTAAACATACAAATRCATACATATTGGTTTGAAATTYCAAGTATTTTGCGCAATCACTATTGAAACTCAAATATCGCTAAAAGGTCGACAATTAATGTATTWTATATATAATTTTATTTTCATTTTWAAAATTAAACAAAATTGAAGGTAAGTGATCAAAATAGGGGGTCCCCCGTCTAATTTAGATTTTAGCTAGAGGTCCGTGGCTCAATGCTAATTGGAAATCACTGATCTACACGGTACACATAATATTATATTGAATAAGTAATTCTATGAATGAATAAAAATATAATAATAAATACCTAATAATTGTTGATTAAAGTATAATGGTATAAGTCCTATACAAACATGTATTACATGGGATACTGAGTAAATAGTTTTATTTTAATTTTCTGAATAACGCAGTCGTTTTATCTTTTCTGTTTATAATATCTGTAATATATTCTATGAATAGTGTGAAATACGTTAACCATTATTAGCTACCTATTATATTTATAAATAATATTTTGATATTTTTCCGATTATTATTATTATAAAATTAATTTTACAAAATAGAATATTATAACATTTTAAATTTTTGATTTCACGTGACAACAGAAGTGGCGGGAGAATACTTTCTTGAAGGGTGTCAACTAAACTATAGTACTTTATTTTTTTAAATTTCTATGACAATTAACCAATTTTTTTTTTTAAAGTATAATAAAATGATATTTTGATATTTTAAGTTTCCGTCATTTACATCGGGTACTTGTTTTAAAAAATCTGTTAATTTTATTTTGATAAAATAAACATATAATTTAAATCTGGCAATCTGGGTCACAAAAAAAGTATCTAAGTCCTGACCCACGGAGGTTTTTGTTATACCGTTTGATGCTTGATCGGTATATCAGTTTGGTATTTTTTTAAACAAGCCATATTATGTAGTAGGTAATAACTAATAACTAATAAGTATACACGTATAGGCCCCAGTATAGGGCACAGYCGTATTATAAGCTATAATAATGGTACATTTTTCCCGAGAACCGTTGTCGAATTATCAACGTGATATATTTATAATTTATCATTATGGACGGCGGCGAGATAACAAATAAGTAGTTAGTAGATACGGTATCTACTTGTTAGGTGTTTGTTACAATATGTAGGATGTATCATGTATATGTATTTAAGATACACATTAATCATTAGTTTATTAATCTAACAATATTTGTAGTTTGTACCATGAACTATCTTGATAAAATATAGTCAGCTCAATAAATGTTTAATATAAATAAATATAGGTTTGTTAATTAGCCACAAAACATGTTTGTAAATGTTACGAGGTATTTTTTTCAGAAGACTGTGGGTCTAGTTTAATCATTGAATATTAAGTATTTCATCATAATTTAATATATTTTTTTTTTAATGATTCGAGACAAGTAATAATCTTCGGATAACTAGACTGCGGATTACATGCATCGAAAACAATAAAACATTATAATATGTTCCTATATAATGTCGTAGCCACTTCGTGAAATGGAAACACGTTTTTTAAACTTAGTGAAATTCAAAAATATTTCACGCGCGAACAACCACTTTGTRAAAAAAATTACACGATGTTAAATTKGAGTGACCATTTCATGAAAAAGTGACCATTTCGTGAAATATTTTGAATTTCATAAAGTGTAAAAAATGTGTTTCCATTTCACGAGATGGTMATTTTTTCATGAAAAGATCGATTTCACGAAGTGGTTACGACATTTATATATTTTTAAATATACATCATAAAAGACTGAAATATACATAGTTTATGTTTAAATAATATGTACTAAAAATGAAATGGAATTAAATAAATAAATAGTATTTTTTTTTTGAAATTGGTAAATTTTATTACCACTTTTATTTCTAAAAAATGTTACTGCAGAACGAAACACTTTCGATCCAAGTATCCAATTGCGTAATGGCAGGGCAGGTTCAGTAGTATATTTTATTGTTTCCAACATATTCGTATTCGCAATGGTTTCGTGAATACTTTCATCACGACAGAAATAAGTTTGTTCACATCTGAGATCTAAAAATTCATTTCAAATTTCTTTGGGAAACCGGTGAATAGCATGAGCGAATCAAATTATGTGGACCAAGTGTGGATATAAAAGGTTTTGATGGATTATGTCACAATAAAGCGGCCCATACACGATCAATGTTATCGATTAATATTTGATATTGACAATAATATTGACAGTGTATGGATCATATTGAAGACGTGTTCAATATATTGAAACAATTAAAGTTATTTTGATATTTATTGATAGATTGTCAATATTACTGTGCTATTATTGAATGTATTGTACTGAACAATATAATATTCAATATCTTTGATCGTGTGAGTGCAAAAAAATTGAAACATTTATTGATGTAAATATTGAGCAATAATATTTATCGTGTGAGTGCAAAAAAAAATTGAAACATTTATTGATGTAAATATTGACCAATAATATTAATCGAAAATTCGACGAGGCCGTTGAAAGTCGTCCGGTCAATTGACAACAATTAGTTCGGTCAGATGTATTTTTACACATTTAATCAGTGGTTACATATTGTAAAAAAATGGCGATTATGTACCGTTTACGTCACGAATCGAGTAGATGACTAGAAAAAGGCGWTTAAATACCATCAGGCATCAGCATAATATATGCAGAAACGCAAATGCATTATTGTTATCCGTGATCTACTGATAGTCCGCTAAGCATGCCTAACTATTTTTTTATTAATTTATTTTATTATATAACACTGTGTCTGGTTTTGGCGTGATATTCGGCATTGGTTTTAAAATCGTATACAATCATAATTTAAAATTCATGATACAATGCTTTACATTTTTATCTCGTATTTTTATTTTATATTTTATTTTAAATGCGAGTACGGTGCGCGCACGTGAACGATTCTTTTATTTCACGTCCTAAACTCGGAAATGTTATGTTGAAAGCTGTTCAGTAATTTTGTGGTAATAATAATAAATATTATTCGACATCATTCCATAATATCATTATCGTCGTCGCCGTCGCGAGCCCCGCGCCCTACCCCGCCGTACGTAGACCGCTCGTTGCCGTCGATATCGTTTTCGGGTTTTGGGGATATTTATAGCTGGGGACAGAAAATTATTTTCCGCGTGCCAGACAAAATATCGATAATAATAGTAACACGTACACACACACCACAATATAGTCATTACTAATTTAATCGCTTACCGACTCCTATGGGCATTTAGCCGTAGAAATCGTGTACTCGTCGTCGTCAAGTCGTCACTATATTATAGTCTCTCCTGTGTACACCACTGCGCATGCGCATTGGCACATCGCTTTCGCACACTTGCACACACCGATCGCGGTCGTAGTTGTTTTATTTTCGTACTTCGATTGCGTCCCGTTGGCATTCTGGCTGCTCCTGGCTGCTTGCTGCCGTCACGTCTCGAGGCGATCTTAATACCGTGCGTTGTTCAGTGATAATATAATATTTTAATACCTATTTTCGTCACTCATCTTATTGACCACTCGTGGTCGTCAGTGGTTGTCGTTTCACTCGGGTCGTTCGTTTTTCCGACCGCGTCGCCGACGCCGTTGCCAGAGTTGGTTCAAACACGTGAGTGGTGCTCGAGCGGAGCGATTTAGACGCGCGTACGCCTCTATTATATTTTTAGGTTTTATAGTCCATACTGTATTATTGTTTACTGTCTACAGATAGGTACGTAGGTACATAGTCGTTGTTGTGCAATTATATTATTATCGGCGTCGCCATGCACGTGCAAGTGAGGATGATGAGCTCCGGCAAGTCGACCGTGATACCCACGTCTAGAACGACGAAGATCAGCGACTTAAAGACACTCATCGAAAAAAAGTTCGACGTCAAACCGGAAGATCAACGACTTTTCTTCGCCGGCAAACAGGTAATATTTTATCAACCATTCCGTCTTGTTGGTTTTATAAATCTAGGAAATAAAATCTCCGACCAAAAGCGCTCCGGTAAAGTAATATAAACTCCCTTACCGACAAACACTAAACATTCGATGATTATGATCTTGATATTATTTTAACATAATGTGGTCTAAATGAGTTAAATATAATTATACCCTTGTAGTTTTACACCATATTTACCTATTTATTTGAATCAGAACAATAACACATACCTACATAATAATATTAAACAGTATTGTATAGTTTATTATAATCCTTTTAAGTTGAAATTTTTGGTGATATATCTTTTTTTATTTGTGAAACATGTGTCTTAATATTTTGAATATTTTTGAACTTTTCTCGTACAAAACTAATGGGCCCATCAGTATCAAAGTACTGGAAAAATCTTCAAGAGTGGAATCTAATAAGTAAAAATAAAGTAAAGTGTACAAAAGGCTTATTCTTCATTTATGTCCCATGAATAGTGCTACCGATGGATTTGTATGGCGATGTTGAGGAAAAAAAAAACAAAAGGTCTTCGATATGCAAATTTTTTCAATCTATTCTCAAACATACTTTTTTTTTTAAATGTCATTGGTCTCCTTTTCAAATAGGGGCATTTTTTTATTTGTGGCTTAAAAATGTTTCTMTATCTTTTATAATGGAGCCAGTCTCTATTTCGAAAATACTGCAATAGATTAGGCAGCTTTTCACAGAGAAGTCATTTTTGACTGTATGATTATATGTCATGAGCAGTGCTGTAGTCCTTAAAAAGCAGAGGGTATACTATGGGTTATAATATTAAACATTTATAATGTCATTAGGTATCACTTTGGTAGAGGGTAAATAACACAACACACATACTTTAATATTGCACAAATTCAAATTAAAACTATATAAATTATGTTTTATACAAATCGTCTATCTTAAGTGATTCTTAACATTCTTAGTTTTTCTATCAACAATATAAATAATAATCTAATGACTTTTATCTTTATATTATTTAGTAATTTCATCACAACAGAGAGTATACGACCTTAATCAGAGGACAGAGGTATACAGAGTTTATTAGAAATAACCAGAAAGTATACGGCGTATACTGCCGTATACCTTCCACTGCAGCACTGGTCATGAGAAGATTGGTGTGTTTGTAAAATGTAAATGAAAATGATTTACATAATATTTTAAATTTGTTATTAGATACATACAAATCGATACCCTTAACTTATGTAATAAATAGTAAAACAATTTTAACTGTTTCAAATATTAACTATAAAAGGTGGAGTAGGAAAAATAGTTGAAATAGACGATTCAAAATTTGGTCAACGTAAATTCCATCGTGGCTATCGAGTAGAAGTCCAGTAGGAATCTGGGTTTTATTTTCTTGTTCTTGTTGAACGCCGTGACAAGTTCACTTTGTTGTCATAAATTAAAGACTGGATTTTGCCAGGCACGTGTATAATTAGTGATTGTTGGAAGGTACAATTACCTAACTTACACCTAAACAAACAAATTAAATTAAAAACTAAAAAAATTAAATTTTCCATTTTTTTTATCGCCAAAGTTCTAGGTTTATGATTGTTTAGAAGAAGAAAATTGAAAAATAAAGAGAAAATTGGACAGGTTAACCTGTAATCTCACCACTTCATATATCCTCTACTAAACCTCTACTGTGAAAAGATAATTTATTTTAATGTTACGTTTGTTTCAAATTATTTTATAATGAAATGACTAATGAGCCATCTTCTATAGAGAAAGAAGAGGTATAAAACTCAGAACAGCTTGCCATTATTATTGATGCAATGCTTTCTATCTGTAATTTTATCAGTAGATCTTTTCTATCAGTTGTGTAATAACAGTTGTTAATGCATGGTGGTAACTAAAATAAGACATTTTATTTATTTGTATTATGTATATTTTATCCATCTCTACAAAAATTTCAAGCATCCTTGTGGCTAGTGGCACTCAATGGTAACATGATTCTTCTAGTGTTACAAACTTTTTTTGCATACCTTGTGTAAAGAAGTTTCACTTTAATTAAAAATTTAGGTATTACCTATTATAACAATTAAATCTTAATAAAATAATTAATGCAATGTCTTCTGCAAAAATTAATTCTAATTAAAGGCCTCGGTGCAAAAACCAAATACGTCCACATTTTTCAAAAATTGTTTTTTGTTATAGAAAAGTTCAGTAAAAAAATCTCTATCGATGGGTGCAAAACCGAATACGTGCGATGAATAGTATTGAAATAAAATGATAAAAATTGATTTTTAAATTTCTGTTGGGTGCAATAACCAGATACGTCCGGATGGTATTAATTACTGTATTACTTGAAGTGAATTAAATAATTATAACAGAAATTTAAATATTTCATACAATTTTAAAATGTGATTTTTATGTTATATTACATGTGTTGGTTGACAGAAAATTATCACCTAGAAATGTTTTAATGATTCTATATTTTATCAGGGCTTGTAAGGTTGTAAGTTCTTACCCTTTGTGATTGAGCAAATTAACTAATTAACCTAACCATGATGTGTTTTTTTTTTTGTGTCTGACATCACGTTTTGGAGCAGTAAAAGTGCTTCGATTTTTGTTTTCAGTACCTCGTTGAATAAAAAGTGAATTTAGTTGGTACTTTTGGGTAAAAATGCTTTGACTTTTAACTTCAGTACCATGTTAAATCAGAAAGTGAATCTAGTTGATACTTTGGCCTTGGGGGATCAAGAGTAAAAATAATCGGGATAAACAAACTAAAAATTAACGGAAAAACAGGAAATTTTATGCACAATCAGTTTTCGACAAAATCGATTTTGGTTTTTGATGTAACTTTTAAAAAAATGACCATAGATACATGAAGTTTTCACCGAATGTTTATATAAGTATATTCTATCCACCATGCARTTTTCWAAAAATTTCGACTTAAGTTGAACTATTTATAGGCATATGCAATTTTTGATAATTATTAGTTTAAAAAAAATTTATTTGTTGGGTAGAAAAGCTTTAAAATGTAATACAAGGCTCCTAAAAAATTGTTACAATAGTAGTTGAAAAATAAAATAAATTCATAGTTACAATTTTTTTTATAAGCATTCAAAGTTTGAATTTTTACATAATACGTAATTATTTTAAGCGGGAAATTCTTAGAAATTTTTCTTTTTAAATCTAAGATTTGAAAATGTTTAATAATCTATAATACATCCTAGACAGATATACCTAATATTATTGGATTAAAATTTAATTCCATCCATTACAGTAACCCACTTGTAACTTACTGTACAGCAGAGCGATATTCACTTTCCTGCTTTTTTTTTCTTGAAGTTTGATTGCCATTGGTAAATATTTATAGTTTGATTTTATRTAAAATTATAACCTGATCTAACTTGAAATGTTAGAGATTTTGATTCATCTTAAGGTTTTTTAATTGCTATACTACCATTTGCATTAAATAATTCAACAATGCGTTCAACTGGTTCAAAAAGTACACATTAATGTAACTCAATATTAGTATGAAGCTGCAGAAATTAATGTTTCCTAGAATGGATTCTGGTGGCAATGTTAAATCAGGAAGTGTTTTGGAGAATTGTATATTTTAATATAGAGATTATTTAATATGTATATTTTTTATATTAGCCATTAAATCATTGTCAATATCAAAATTTATTTCCCTATAGGTGTCAGATGGGGTGTAAGCCATGCACAATTTTAGTGTATGTACTTGTAAATGATGTGTAGTGTTGATTTTTTCATTAAAACGAGCATGCTCTTGTAATGTATATCTCTTTAGATCAATGATCTATAAAATTCCTCAACATAATTTTAATATATCATCAGGGCTATCGTTTAATGAAATACTTAATAATTGTATTAACTCCCCTTCAACTTCAATAGTTTTGTCCACTGACAACTATAGTATGTCTCACGAAAGAACGGGACCGTTTCGCGCATGTAGAAAGAGCTCACCGTTTACTCCTCACCACGACCGCCGRCAACCACCAGCGACGACCGTCGTCGTCGTTGTAGTGCTGTGGTGCGGTGYGGCGTGGGGATGCRCAAGRATGACCGATTTTGGTCGAGACACGGTCCCGTTCTTTCGTGAGACAGTATATATTTGTTCCCATTGACTCATTAATTGATTTTATACATTATTTTGATGTAGTATACAGCAATATATTTAATTTAATCTGCAATAGATAATTTAACAGGAATATTTGGTCCAGTTTACCTACTTAGCAAGAAAATCTTAATACTATAGATTTGCCAATTTGTTGTTTAATGAAATTTTTGCTGTCTACAGCTTTCTACAGAACAAAATTAAAGTCTGATTTTTTTGAAGTTGTAGGGATTGGATTGAATTTTTAGTTGCTGTAAATATTTTATTTTTTTACATTTTTGTTGTCAATTTACTGATTATTTTGTATTTCTCACTATTAATTTGTTGCACAATACAAAAGCCACTTGCCACTTTTACTTTCCATACCTTTAAAAAAATAATATGCTATTGTCATCTGAGAATATATTTTTGCCAAACTCGATAAATAATTTATTGTCCTAAGATTTTTTTTTTTTTATCATGATAGAAGTTATTAAAATAATTGTAGGTACCATACTACCATATTTTTTGACCAATTTTGAGATATTGCTGTAATGTGTATTMTGAATTTGTAAATTTTTTTTTTGTTGATATTTTGTTTATTTGATATTTGTATTACTAATTAAATAATAATAATAACATTACATAGTTTTATGATTTTTAATTTAACCTAAAATACTTAACCATATACCCAATATGTTAGGTCACGTGGTTTGGTAGATCACTAACTAAAAAAATAACCAATGCTTTTGAGTTAAATTTTTAGATTCCTTATTTTATTATATTGATCAGTTAAATAATTTCTATTCACTAGGACCCTTAAATGAAATGTATGATTTAAATAACGCTCCCTGTATTTATTTTAATTATTGGCATGATTATTGTTTATATGTTTCAGCTTGAAAATCAGTATAGCCTCTTTGATTACAGTATTAATATAAATGATGTTATACAATTGACCATTGTGTCTGTTACTGAAACTAACACTATAAAAAAATCAATGCCAAATGTTCCTAAGAATTTAAATGATAAAGAATCTATTCTTGGTTGTGCATCAGACAGTAGTTCTAAAACAAAAGAGGTATTTAATTTATCATGATAAAATCTTCATAAGTTATAAATTCATTTCATATTCTAGGATAATTTAGAAGATATATCCGAGGAAAGCAAGTATTTTAAATTGGGTGATTATGTTGATATAAGAGATCATGAATATGGTGTGTGGTACATGGGTAAAATAGTGAAGATAAAAAAAGATGTTTCTTTAGAAATTGAACCATCTTCCTCTGATAATCAAGAAGAATATGATGGACTTATTTATTTTGTAGAGGATGCAGGGTAAGTGTTCTATTATTTTTATTTAAAACGTATTTGTAAGTCTAATTAATTATATTTATTTAGATCCCCTACTGATCCACTTACTAAAGCCAAATTGAAAGACATTAGACCATATGCTACAGATAATCTGCCATTTGATCAATTAAAAATTAATGATAAAGTTCTTATGAATTTTAACACTGAACTTCCTAAAGAACGTGGCTTTTGGTATGATGTCCTAGTGAAACAGATAATAGTTAATAGACGAAATCGTGAAGTAATAGGGAATGTTACTGTTGGATCGAATAAAGCGGTGTTGAACAATTGTCATTTAAAGTTTGTTGATGATATTTTAAAAATTAAACCATACAAATTGGTTGCAGAGAGGACTAAGGAAGAAGATGCTATTATGCAAACAAAGCCCTCTACGGAAAGTAAGAAAATAAAATTGGCATTTTTTTCACTTGTTAAGAAAATATTAAATTTATGTTTTTTTCTTGAAAAGGAGCTACAGCTTTAAATTGCACTAGGTGCAAAGACAACATTAATAAGTTATGTGTGTACTGTGCATGTAATATTTGTGGTGGCAAGGATCATGAGGACAAACAGATATTGTGTGATGAATGTGATGGCAGTTTTCATATGACCTGCCTTACACCACCCTTGACGGAAATTCCAAAAGATGATGATTGGTTAGTGATAATAATAAATAATAATTGTATTTAGAAAAATTATTTTTACTGCTATGAGTATATTTATGTGCAAAAAATTTGTTTCAGGTATTGTCCAACATGCAAAATTGATGATAGCGAAATTGTTAAAGCTGGTGGAAAATTAAAGGCCTCAAAAAAAAAGACATTAGCGTCAACATCAAAACGTGATTGGGGCAAGGGAATGGCATGTGTAGGTAGAACAAAGAAATGTAACATTGTTCCACCCAACCATTTTGGTCCCATTCCCGGTGTTGAAGTTGGCACTACATGGTTATTCCGCGTTCAAGTGAGTACTAAAGAAATCTTCATTTAAATGGTTTTAAAACTCTTGTTCTTTAGGTATCTGAAAGTGGTATTCACCGTCCACCAGTTGGAGGAATACACGGTCGTGACAATCAGGGTGCATTTAGTATTGTATTAAGTGGTGGTTATGAAGACGACATTGACAATGGTGAAGAATTCATGTATACCGGTTCAGGTGGAAGAGATCTGTCTGGAAATAAACGCACTGCTCTACAGAGTTGTAACCAAGAATTGACTCGCTATAACAGGTAATTTATGGTACATACAAATAATTAAAAATGATCTATCTTTATTTCTATTATAATTTTTAATTAATATTTATTGTAGGGCTTTAGCTCTCAACTGTAATGCAGATATCAATAATAAAGAAGGAGCAACAGCTGTGGATTGGAAAAAAGGCAAACCAGTTAGAGTTGTACGGAATTATAAACTTCGTAAGCATTCTGAATATGCACCTGCTGTGGGCAATCGGTATGGACATTTTATTTATGAAAACAGTCTTTTTTTTTATTATTCTAATTGAATTGATCTAATTCAAGCTATGATGGTCTTTACAAAGTTGTAAAGTATTATCCAGAAACTGGAATATCTGGGTTTATTGTTTGGCGTTTTGTATTGAAACGAGATGATCCTACACCAGCTCCTTGGACAGCAAGAGGCAAAATGCGTATGGCTCAACTAGGCCTTGAAATAATTGTGAGTTAGAAAATGTTAATAACTATGATAAATTAAATAGGTATATCAGCAATATACCGGTTTTGAAACAGATCACACATCCTTCCTCCGCCCATTCAGTGAAATGTGACCAGATCATTTCACTGTTTTTCATTGGTTTAAACCACCACTACAACCACAATTGCTGCCTCCGACTCCACCTTACTTCACTGACCATCTATTTGATGAAATGCTTCTTTCATTGACATGCGTATCACAAAGTTGCTGACATACCTATTTAATTTATCATGTTCATAACTAGGGCTCGGATGTTGTTGCACTAAAAATGTTCTAAAATTGATTGCATTATTGCTGTGAAAAATACCCAAAATTGCACTTAAAAATTGCAATAAAAAAATATTTTGTACCAAAAAAATTAATAAAAATATATTAACAAATTATTTTATGAAATGGATTAAGTCATTTTATTAAGTAATATTATAAAGTTTTATTAGATAGGTTTTAAACGAGTAGATAATAAAAAAGATTCAAATTCAAATTCTCGACAGTTGTCATAAAAATCTGGTAAATTGTGCGGTCTATATTTTTTCAGAAATCTACAAATAAATTTATCAAAATTTAAAACTTTTTATTTAAACTATTTTTGATTTGTTTTTTTTTAAAAAACCTTACCTTACCTTAAAAATTATCATTGGCGCCCACAGGTTTTCTACGAACCAGTGAAGTTATAACTATAGGGCCCCCAAATTTATTTGTTTGCATATTTGGTACTGCCAACTTTACGCTTTATTCAACGATCTAAATATTCAGATGGACCAGATGAATAGTTATGTATTTATAGTGTCTGATCAAGAGACCAGAGTGGGGCCCTCGAATGTATGCAGGCCCCGGGACCTACGAGAAACCAGTGCAATTGCACCACTTGGTACCCTACGTGGGTGCCACTGAAAAGTATTGCACTGTATAATCTAACAAAAAAAAGTGAAAACATAAAAAAAAATATATAATTGTATTGAAAATGACAACAATCAACAAAATTGCAATAAAATTGAAAAAAGGTCAAAAATTGCAAAAAGTTGCACWTAAWATTTTTATATATTAATTGGTACTCGTTTGAAATAAATTTATAACTTACTTAGCAACGAATCCGAACAATAGAAAAAAAATTTAAAAATTTCAAATGCAACAACATCCGAGCCCTATTCATAACTATTAAAATATTTAATTCATACATGTTTTATGTGGTTTTATAAGTATCCTGAAAATTATGTACCACCTACTGAACTTGACAATGCTAAGTCAGATTTACCGGGGTCTAAAAGAAAAAGAACACTGCAAAGCATCGAAAACAGTGAGTCAAATGAAAATTTACCGTTCAAAAAAGAAGAAAAGAAAGCAAAAATGCATTATAAATTAGAAAATGAAGCAGAAGTATTAATTGCAGCTGATGCTGCCAATAAAAAATATTGGGATGATTGTAAAGAGTTGTTAAAAGACGGCAAAAAAGTATGTAACTATATAAAAAAAATATTCATAATTTTATTAACAAAATTTAATATCCCTTTAGGCATTTTTGGATAGAGTTGAAGAAACTTTTATGTGTGTATGTTGTCAAGATATTGTCTTTGAACCTATTACATTAGAATGTGCTCATAACATTTGTAAAGTAAGTTTATTACTAAGATTTATTTTGAAATCTGATATTAATATATGTATTGTTTTTAGGGATGTTTAAAAAGATCATTTAGATCTGAGGTGTACCAATGTCCAGCGTGTAGAGCTGAATTAGGAAAAACTTACTCTATGAACATCAACACTACATTGGCTAATACTCTTTTGTATTTCTTCCCTGGTTATAACACAGGTCGTTAACAATTGTTTTAACTACTGTTACAAACAAAATTTATTATAAAAGATAGCAGTGTACATTACTTAAATATAATYCTTATCATTTTTCTCAGCAAGATTGCTTTTAATAAAACAATAATTTATTTAAATTGATTAACTAATTTGTTATACATTTATTTATATTTAATTATACTTGGAGGTAAAGTAACTTCTTTATTTATAGAAAAATAAAATTGTATTCATATTTTTTTTTAGTTTGGTGACCCATTCAAAGTTTTCTAATGAGTTTTATTTGTGTATTACATTTTTTTTTTAATAAGTTAATTTTGTTATAACTACATAAAGTATTAGTCGTGTTGTACTATGTTAAATAATTAAAATATTAAAACAAAATTGTTATTTATTATTAAAGTAAACATTGAATCATCTTTGAATTATTTATTTACCTTATTGCACAAAATTTAATAAATATTCTTAGAGACAGGCACAACTTGACCAATATTATGGCGATTGCACAAATCACTAATACACATCATTCTGTGTAATAAGTAATTATCTTAAAGTATAAACTATGTTTAACATACCTACATTTATATTTTAATATTAGTGAACAATTTTATATTAAGGAAATAATATAGTCCCAACTATTAGAAAATAGTTCATCTGTCCAGTAAAAAATTATATTGATTTAAATTACTGCTAGTTCAGTATAAAATTCACTATCTCAATTATCAAAATCAATAGTGCCATTGCAATTATTTTTATTTAGTTGAAGACTTTAAACTGATCAGATTTAAACTAGAAGTAGAATAGTTTGAACTTAAAGATCTAGAAAAAATGTTCTAACAATAAAATTTAAGTGTTTAATATTGTGTTTTAACTAAATATATACAAGGAAATAATGTATGTGCTCGCATTCGTAGGCTGCTGTAGATACAGAAAAATGTTACTTCCCAGAGTTCAAAGTTATTTTGTCAATATTTTATTATATTATATAATATAATTATTGTACCAACAAACATAACTGGTAATATTCTTAACTTCACTCTAATACTAAAAGTAACTTTCAGCTGCATGTAATTTTGAAATGTTGAAAATGGTGTAGAGAGAGAAGGCAAATATTGCGCTGCTTTTGCCCTTAAGACACTAATTGGATTTGGAAATGCCAAAGTATAGTATATAAGTATGCTCAGCAGAATACAAATGCACTGAAAGTTTAAAATTATTTAGTCCATTTTTCTTGGAAATATTCCAACCTTATTGTATTTATGATTCCAAGCAAGTTCAATTCCAGCTGCTATTTAATATTGCATAAAAGAACTACCCATAGAAAACAAAAATCATACATGTCCACAACCATTTTGCATAAATTAATTTAGAGTAGGACACAAGTAATTTAAATATAGTTTGATGCTGTTGCCATTATACTTTGCATTTATGATTATGGACATTATGGTTTGCATTCAACTCATTACTGAGGAAAGCTCATAGTAGTTATTATTTAAAGGAATGAACCTACTTTATTTTAGGTTTCTGGACTCTAATCTAAAAAAACAACCAGAAATTTGGCTGAATCATTGTGTAAAAAAAAAAATTATAGTTTTGAATTTTAAATATAAATCAATAAATTGCTTTGTGAGAAAAATGTATTTCCTTTAAATATTGTTTGAATATGGCCTTTGGAAGATTTTTGTACAGTAAGTTTATTAAATTAATCATCCTTAGTTTTTTGGATAGTTTTTAGGTTTAAAAGTTACACATGTAAGTTCCCACTTAAAAATAATTTCTGATTCTTGGAATTTGATGCATTAAAAAAGTAAAAACAATAAAGTATGTGCATACAATAAATTATTTTTCTTTACACATTTTTTGTGTATATTTTCCGTACGTAGATTTGAAGCGTTATTCTCGAATTGCTAATTAAAAAACATTTAAATGTATCACATACAGCAAGTATCGAATCATGTTATACTCTCATTTCAAACCAGAATATCCTTTATTATTCAATATATTTTTAATAAGACTGGGTCGATCGCAACAGAGAGGTAAGTATTTACAATTAATATTCGATATATTTATAGTAAAATTTAAAATATAGACTAGGTGACTGTGTGCGGTGTCTCTTTATTTTTAAATTATTTAAAATTAAAAAAAAAAAGTTTATTATTGATCTATAAACATATATTATAAGCATTTATATGCCTAAAATCATATGTAGTGAAATTTGATGCTTAAATTTTGGTAATTTGTTGTATTTATCGTGAAACGAAATTATATTGCATCAGATTTTGAATTTGGAACTTTCTAAGGAATATGCAAATGCATTAAGTTATGAGCCACATAATTAACAGCTAATAAATAACTAACTGAACTGACTGACTGACTGAACCTAAGATTTGTTTGTTTTCGTGTTCCGTAAAAACAAGTCCAATCACATTTTTAATTGAATTCAAACACGAATAAAATCACACCAATAATATGTTAATATGTATTTTATAAAGCGGTGGCAATAAATTTTATTGAATATTCAGCTTTCGCAGAGATGCGAATGTATGCGATACTGATTTGTTTTTGACGTTTTTGTCAATAATCGTCATATACACCATTTAAATAATTAAAAAAAAATAATGATAATTAGCAATTTAAATAAATATTAAAATATATTTGAGAAATAACAGTTGATAATCGTTTTTCGTAATATGAAATGATTTATAATTTATAAGTAGACACATTTTTTTTTTTTCTAATCAAAAAGTGTGTGTGCTCATATTATTATCATTTTAAGGTAAAACATAAAAAGTTTTAAATTGTTTAGTTTCATTTATTATTTGGGAGATATACATACAAATACACAATATTACATAGGTACTTATTCTATTTGTTTTTATTAATTGGCTATAATAGTGCATTTCATTGTTTAAGTAATAACATAATATACTAAGATACCTCTAGCTACTATGAATTGGAAACCGCGATCATCGTGACGATAACTTATATTAAATTAATTTTTTTACAACGTTTCTAACACTGACCAACAGGATTACAAAAATCACCACTGAAACTCAACAAATTAATTACACACATCAAAATTTATAAAATATTACACATTAGGTAACTCATCCGACATCACCTACCTATACGGCACTCAATGAGCCGTCCGAATTCCGATTCCACGCCGAATGAGGGTGTTTCGACGGACGCGAAGAGCGGCGGCAAGTCGTCGAAGGTGTGCAGCGATCCGATCTTGGGCAAGCGGCCGCCGGTGTACTACAGCTCCGTCACCGACGACAGGCACGCGGTGGACGCTAAGCCGAAGTGCGCGCAGCCGCCCGGGTGCTTGCCCAACGGGTGCATCAAGACGGAACAGCATTACGCCTGCGATCGGCAGCTGGTGAAAACGCTGGCGCAGTACGTGTCGCCGGACGAACGGAGGAAAGTGCTCATGTGGCTGGACGTGCTCGGCGAGATGACGCTGGACGATGACGAGCTGTCCGACCGATCCATGTACGTCACGTGCCTGTTGCTGCTGCTCCAGTCCGGGCAGCTGGTGCCGCCGTTCACGAGGGTGCCGCCGCCCCGGCCGCTCAAGACGCTGCGGGACGTGATCGACAAGCGGCTGTTCAAGAAGGTCCAGATCGAGTGCCGGAAGCGCAGGCTGTACGAGCGCGTGCGATACGAACACCCGGACCGCAGCGTCGCGCAAAGGCCGTCCGACTTTTACGACCAGATGCCGGCGCCCAAAGAAGGCATATTCTGTTACGGGGCCGCTTTTAGTACTCTGCAGTGAATTTCGAATGATATATGACGCAGCTGGCCATGACGAAATTATAAAAATATAGTTTTAGAACAATTAGAAAAAATACATATTGTTATTTTTGTGTATTATATATATTATTACTTATTAGGTATAATATGCGATTAGGTACATGTTTTATGATCTTGATGGACTACCGACTGTTACCGATGTGTGGCCTCGTCCTCTTATAAGCGTTTCCGTTCTCGCCATACAAACCACCCGAATCCACTCATTATTCTTGCACATAACTTAGCAAACATTCCTGGTAATCCACCAAAAAGATTGTAAAGGCGCTGGTGTTGTGTCTTAATTAGCTAATCTGATGTTTAAAAAATAATTTAATTTTATAATTTTCAATTTAACAAATTTTATAATCAACATTTGAACTTTAAATGTTTAAAGTTCTTTTAACTTTTGAGTTAAACAAAATAGAAAAATTGTTCCGTAAAAAATCGAGTGGACATCCAATGCCGTAATAATTTGAACACTAGAGGCTCGTAAACATTTAATTTGACTACTTTCTGACATTTTTTTTCCTTTGATAAACGTAGACCAACTTATGAGGAATCTTGTTTTAAATTTTCAAATCTTAGATAGAAAAAGACATTTTTTATGAATTTCAAAATAATTTTAAAATTTTTCATGAATTTTATGAAAATTTCAACTTTAAATGTTTATAAAAATAAATTGTGATATTGTATCTTTATATATAAATGTGAAAATGAAAACCTATGAGCGATATGTTCTCGGAAACTACTGAACCGATTGTTATGATTTTTTTTTTTTTAATTAAAGAGCTCATTGCGTAGAAGGTTTATGCATTTGATCGATTCTCTAACTTAATAAACAAAGGAGTTATCAATTATTATAAATTTTTATAAAATTCAGATCGACATTTTTGTTTATAAATCGTTGCCATGAATTAAAGTTAATCGTTTTAAGTCGCTTATAATAATTATAATAAGATGTAATAAAAGTAAACTACGTTCATGATCAGTACCTACAACTGTATAAACGTTAAGCTGCAATATATGGATTATTGTATATTGTATAWTTGTACATACAAAGCTTTATGATTTAATACTTTGTGACGATGAAATATATATACCAACAAACATTGTAATATTGTATATAGTATATATCATCAGTTAAGAGCTATGGTGGCTCATTTTAAAATATTAAATTTTCAATGTATCAAAATGCAATATTATATAATATTAATTGCTGAATTAAAACGATTAGGTAATAAAAATTATTATAAAAAAAGCGGGTAAGTCGATGATGTCGCTCTGCTGTACAGTAGGTTACTGTAATGGATGGGATTAAATTTGAATGCAATGATAGGTAACATTGTATACGAAAAACGATTCTGAACGGAGATGATTTGTCAGTCTAGGA